CCCTAGGGATGCTTTTTTAGGTGATACGTTGCCATAGTGTCCAAAGTATGACGTCTTAATGTTTTTTTCGGTGTTGATGCCGAGGCTCCCATTTGAAAGCGCCCGACAATAGATACTTCCGTTTTTAGTCTTTCTATCTCGAGCAGATACTCTTGTTTGCTTTTATCCATCTCTTTTAGCTTAATTGCCTGCTTTTTGAGCCGAGTTTCGAGATCGCGAGTCAAGTTCTGATATCTTGAAGTGTCTCTTCTGTAGCTGACAAGATGTTTACTTTCGTTTTATTTTTGACAGTTTTAGTGCTTTGGGCGAATTCTGGTGTAGATCTAGTCTCCTCCTCTGCAGCTAAAGTAACATTCCCGATAATCAATGATTTGGCATTACCCCAAGAGCCTGTGAGAGCAGTCTAGTCAATTTCGAATCGCGATAACTGATAAACTCCTTCCCCTCGCTTAGTTGCCTTATCACATTTCCTAATACTGACAAAGATTTGTTTATGTTAGCCCCCTCTTTAAGACGCTCACCAGCAGCTTTCGTCAGAGAAACTCTCTCAGAACCAGCTAAGTCCATTAAGTTAAGGTAGCTTATATGTACAGGTCCATCTTTCTGATTGGCATCTTTCGACTCCAGAATAATCCGGAAATCGTGTGTGATCGAGATGACCTCTCATTCATGCGAGTAGCTGCAACTCGTCTGATCTTGCCCTGCATCATGTTCTCCATAACTTTATCAACATTGTCTACGACAGCTTCCCTTGCATCAAGCAGCACATTTCCTTTGATATCTTCTCTTATAGTTAAACCCTGATTGCTCTTATCCAGGAGGTCATTGATCTTTTCATTGTAGATTTCAATATAACTGCATCTAATCAAGTACCTCTTATCAACCTGGTCTGCCACATGCTGGAATAACTGATTGGATACTAATTGGAAAAGCCCAGGATCTGTTTTATTGCCCAAAATGGTGTGTGTTTTGCCAGAAGATGTTTGGCCATATGCAAATATTGTGGCATTGAAACCTTCCATGAAGGAATCGACTAAAGGTTTTACTACAGATCCATATACATCTGAATTTGTACATTCCTGCTTAAATACATGGTCTCGAATATATAAACCTCTCCATGGCGACTACTTTCATCGGCTTCCCATATGCAGTTTACTCTTACGTTCCAAAGACGCTCTAGACCATCGGCTACTTCGCGGTGGATCATTGGTCTGATCTTTGTGGCTACTTTAATATTGTCGGAAGTCATTTTGGAAGCTTGAACTGAAATTTAATTAGAACTAGGGCTATTTCACGGGTTATAAAGAGGGCACTTTTCATAATCCAGATTTCGTTTTGGCATTCCAGTTCAGCCATTTGATCCTGAAGCTCTTTTATAGTAGAATCATTATGGCATCGTATATCTGAGATTTTAAATGAGTGGTTGACCTCACGTTGGTTACTCTCGTCCATCAGACTCTTTACGTCATTTCTCAGTTTAGATTCAAGTTCTTTTAGGAAGCCAATTTCATCTTGCAGTTCAGCAATGTGTGACATCGTTACATCAGTTTGTGTAGCAGCACTTAAAGAATCTTGCATATCTTCGTACTCAGCGTCAAGCATAGCTTCTAAGTCTGCAACCTTCTTTTTTGACTCAATATTTTGAGCTTCAAGAGATGGTTTAGGGCTCTCTGATCTTCCTAGGTTCTTCAGTTGAGTACGCAGCATCTCTATTTCTGACTCGTATGTTTTTAGTCTTTTTATTATTTTTTTCCAGAAAATCGAGTCTGTATTGCAAGTCGATGAAATTCTTGCGCTTTTTGAGAATTTTTTTGAACTCTTTCTATTTCTTCGTTGTACGCATCCGTTACTTGGCGGAGTTCCTGACTGTAACGATCGATTTTAGAATTGGCTTCTGTGAGCTGTTTCTTCAGGTCCAAAATCTCCAGCTGATTATCTAGTTTAGTGAATTCTCTAAGCTCATTGAAAGATTCTTCCAGTTCTTTGCGTTGTCTTTTAAGTACACTTGCACGTCTTCAGCTATCACAGATTCTGCTTCGGCTAGTGCCTCCTCATATGTCTCTTCTTGAATAGGCCTCATTTCACGTCCGGATGATTCTTCTTTGGGTGGATAATTTTTCAATGGCATATACCCTAGGGATGCTTTTTTAGGTGATACGTTGCCATAGTGTCCAAAAGTATGACGTCTTAATGTTTTTTTCGGTGTTGATGCCGAGGCTCCCATTTGAAAGCGCCCGACAATAGATACTTCCGTTTTTAGTCTTTCTATCTCGAGCAGATACTCTTGTTTGCTTTTATCCATCTCTTTTAGCTTAATTGCCTGCTTTTTGAGCCGAGTTTCGAGATCGCGAGTCAAGTTCTGATATCCTTGAAGTGTCTCTTCTGTAGCTGACAAGATGTTTACTTTCGTTTTATTTTTGACAGTTTTAGTGCTTTGGGCGAATTCTGGTGTAGATCTAGTCTCCTCCTCTGCAGCTAAAGTAACATTCCCGATAATCAATGATTTGGCATTACCGCCAAGAGCCTGTGAGAGCAGTCTAGTCAATTTCGAATCGCGATAACTGATAAACTCCTTCCCCTCGCTTAGTTGCCTTATCACATTTCCTAATACTGACAAAGATTTGTTTATGTTAGCCCCCTCTTTAAGACGCTCACCAGCAGCTTTCGTCAGAGAAACTCTCTCAGAACCAGCTAAGTCCATTAAGTTAAGGTAGCTTATGTACAGGTCCATCTTTCTGATTGGCATCTTTCGACTCCAGAATAATCCGGAAAATCGTGTGTGATCGAGATGACCTCTCATTCATGCGAGTAGCTGCAACTCGTCTGATCTTATTGCCCTGCATCATGTTCTCCATAACTTTATCAACATGTCTACGACAGCTTCCCTTGCATCAAGCAGCACATTCCTTTGATATCTTCTCTTATAGTTAAACCCTGATTGCTCTTATCCAGGAGGTCATTGATCTTTTCATTGTAGATTTCAATATAACTGCATCTAATCAAGTACCTCTTATCAACCTGGTCTGCCACATGCTGGAATAACTGATTGGATACTAATTGGAAAAGCCCAGGATCTGTTTTATTGCCCAAAATGGTGTGTGTTTTGCCAGAAGATGTTTGGCCATATGCAAATATTGTGGCATTGAAACCTTCCATGAAGGAATCGACTAAAGGTTTTACTACAGATCCATATACATCTGAATTTGTACATTCCTGCTTAAATACATGGTCGAATATATAAACCTCTCCATGGCGACTACTTTCATCGGCTTCCCATATGCAGTTTACTCTTACGTTCCAAAGACGCTCTAGACCATCGGCTACTTCGCGGTGGATCATTGGTCTGATCTTTGTGGCTACTTTAATATTGTCGGAAGTCATTTTGGAAGCTTGAACTGAAATTTAATTAGAACTAGGGCTATTTCACGGGTTATAAAGAGGGGCACTTTTCATAATCCAGATTTCGTTTTGGCATTCCAGTTCAGCCATTTGATCCTGAAGCTCTTTTATAGTAGAATCATTATGGCATCGTATATCTGAGATTTTAAATGAGTGGTTGACCTCACGTTGGTTACTCTCGTCCATCAGACTCTTTACGTCATTTCTCAGTTTAGATTCAAGTTCTTTTAGGAAGCCAATTTCATCTTGCAGTTCAGCAATGTGTGACATCGTTACATCAGTTTGTGTAGCAGCACTTAAAGAATCTTGCATATCTTCGTACTCAGCGTCAAGCATAGCTTCTAAGTCTGCAACCTTCTTTTTTGACTCAATATTTTGAGCTTCAAGAGATGGTTTAGGGCTCTCTGATCTTCCTAGGTTCTTCAGTTGAGTACGCAGCATCTCTATTTCTGACTCGTATGTTTTTAGTCTTTTATTATTTTTTTCCAGAAAATCGAGTCTGTATTGCAAGTCGATGAATTCTTGCGCTTTTTGAGAATTTTTTTGAACTCTTTCTATTTCTTCGTTGTACGCATCCGTTACTTGGCGGAGTTCTGACTGTAACGATCGATTTTAGAATTGGCTTCTGTGAGCTGTTTCTTCAGGTCCAAAATCTCCAGCTGATTATCTAGTTTAGTGAATTCTCTAAGCTCATTGAAAGATTCTTCCAGTTCTTTGCGTTGTCTTTTAAGTACACTTGCACGTCTTCAGCTATCACAGATTCTGCTTCGGCTAGTGCCTCCTCATATGTCTCTTCTTGAATAGGCCTCATTTCACGTCCGGATGATTCTTCTTCGGGTGGATAATTTTTCAATGGCATATACCGTAGGGATGCTTTTTTAGGTGATACGTTGCCATAGTCCAAAAGTATGACGTCTTAATGTTTTTTTCGGTGTTGATGCCGAGGCTCCCATTTGGAAGCGCCCGACAATAGATACTTCCGTTTTTAGTCTTTCTATCTCGAGCAGATACTCTTGTTTGCTTTTCCATCTCTTCTAGCTTAATTGCCTGCTTTTTGAGCCGAGTTTCGAGATCGCGAGTCAAGTTCTGATATCCTTGAAGTGCCTCTTCTGTAGCTGACAAGATGTTTGCTTTCGGTTTATTTTTGACAGTGTTAGTGCTTTGGGCGAATTCTAGTGTAGATCTAGTCTCCTCCTCTGCAGCTGAAGTAACATTCCCGATAATCAATGATTTGGCATTACTGCCAAGAGCCTGTGAGAGCAGTCTAGTCAATTTCGAATCGCGATAACTGATAAACTCCTTCCCCTCGCTTAGTTGCCTTATCACATTTCCTAATACTGACAAAGATTTGTTTATGTTAGCCCCCTCTTTAAGATGCTCACCAGCAGCTTTCGTCAGAGAAACTCTCTCAGAACCAGCTAAGTCCATTGAGTTAAGGTAGCTTATATGTACAGGTCCATCTTTCTGATTGGCATCTTTCGACTCCAGAATAATCCGGAAAATCGTGTGTGATCGAGATGACCTCTCATTCATGCGAATAGCTGCAACTCGTCTGATCTTATTGCCCTACATCATGTTCTCCATAACTTGATCAACATTGTCTACGACAGCTTCCCTTGCATCAACAGCACATTTCCTTTGATATCTTCCCTTATAGTTAAACCCTGATTGCTCTTATCCAGGAGGTCATTGATCTTTTCATTGTAGATTTCAATATAACTGAATCTAATCAAGTACCTCTTATCAACCTGGTCTGCCACATGCTGGAATAACTGATTGGATACTAATTGGAAAAGCCCAGGATCTGTTTTATTGCCCAAATGGTGTGTGTTTGCCAGAAGATGTTTGGCCATATGCAAATATTGTGCATTGAAACCTTCCATGAAGGAATCGACTAAAGGTTTTACTACAGATCCATATACATCTGAATTTGTACATTCCTGGTTAAATACATGGTCGAATATATAAACCTCTCCATGGCGACTACTTTCATCGGCTTCCCAATGCAGTTTCTCTTACGTTCCAAAGACGCTCTAGACCATCGGCTACTTCGCGGTGGATCATTGGTCTGATCTTTATGGCTATTTTAATATTGTCGGAAGTCATTTTGGAAGCTTGAACTGAAATTTAATTAGAACTAGGGCTATTTCACGGGTTATAAAGAGGGGCAGATGTATCAGGTTGATACATTCTTTTTTTCCTCCTTTCCAGTATAGAAGATTTTTTTCTCTTGTAGGCTATGAATGCGGTCCGATAGTTTAGTAGAGCTACATTTACAGGGTGACTCAAAATCAAAGAAGAAACAGAATTGTTAAATTTCATATAGACTGTTATTGTTATTACAAAAAGAAGTTGAAGCAGAAGCAAATTCTCACAAATCTATAGATCCATCACTTTCAGCACCCGATTTTTCAACTTGAAAAATGCAGCTCGGTGAAGAATCACAAGGTAACTGTTGTCTATTCAGACAATACTCTTCTAAAAGCAACGCGAAGTTACCTAGTGCCTTACATGAATCGCCTTCATAATTCTTCATTATTGACAATGGAAAACTGAAATTGTTGATTATTACAGTTTTTAATGCTGCAAATAAGCAGATGGTGTTCGTGTTGGAAATCCCACGTCTAATCTCGCAAAACAGGTTATCCACCGGATCTTACTATCAACTTCTGAAATGCCATTACTGTTTTTAGCCATGTGTACAACAGGTTTGTACGCATAAAACGCTCAGGGGAACAATAAAATTTCGTCGCCTAATAGAACTTTCAGTCCCAGACTGAAAAAAAAAGGAATTTACAGAAGCTGGTTGGATACCAAATAGCACAAGGCCATCTTCTCGTTCTCTAACCAGTATTGTAATTTACACACTTCCGATCTAATGCATTACCCCCGCCTTCATAGTGTTATAAAAATAATATAGAATCTTATCAGGTTTCTTTGATTCCTCTACTATTTTGTTATCATGCTGCATAGATTGCTATACGAGAACATGTGTATTTGCTTTTGGAAGATACTACACTAAGGCTGTAGTGCTAGTGAACATAAACTTAGAAGTACCTGGCTGTGTTTCCTTCTTATTTGGAACTACATGTTGGGGTACTTGTTACTTATTTTTACGCTTCCTGCCGACATTGGTCAGTTGGTTGATGCGCAATTCTACATGTAATTCTACTGGTGTGATATTTCTGTTCGTATAGACGAAAGCATTGAGCAGGTAGTGGTGAGTCTTTGCATCATCAGTCCATACTTATTCGGTTTAGTTTCTTGTAGGCACAGGAAGGACATCGGCCCACGAGCATCTCGTATTTTGTAGGGGACTCACCCGAAATATAAAATTTCGACAGTTCTCTATGAGTGTCTCGAAAATTTCACGTATTTGGAGAAATTTATCTGCATTTCTCGAGTCACAGGGTTATTATTTTCCAAATTGGTTGCCACGGACTTTAGTTCAGGTAAATGCGTAATAATATTGTCGTCTGGATCGACCAGTTGCAGGCGCTTGTTTTGACCAATTGTACATGTTTTTTCTATAAGCATAGCGAGGTCGCCCATAGGAAGTTGTTCAGGTTGATCGCTAACAGCGTCGTCCTCGGCGTGGTGTATTGTTCATCCGCCAACAACGAAAAAATCCATTGTGAAGGAAGTTCAAATCGTACACGCAACTGACATCCTCGGATCAAATTTGACCGCAAAGTCAACAAACCAACACTTGTGATGTTTAAATTAAACTGTGGTTTGAGGTATACGTGCTTATACCGTATGAGAAGTCACGGGACCCCCACCACATAACTGAGAAAGCTCGAATCACCCGACGATACCATTAAAGGATTAATTTCTATATTCTTAAACGAATCTATAAAATCAAAGTGGCTGGGTTTCAATTTACATAGCTCTTGTATGGTCTTGTTTGCTGATCAACATTATTTGCTTTCTAGACATGTTCAAGCTGTGCAGCTTCTTCACTTTCATATTAATGTCAATAAGAGCATTTCATCCATTTTTGAATAAATGTGGTTCATCAAAAATTGTAGAAATACTCTGAGCATTGCTATAAAATGGAATGGACTTGATCCGTGAGTATTCTCCGAGCAAATCGTCTCAAGTGCGTTTTTGATCGTTGCGCCCTGATTACAAATAGTGCCAACGACGCACAAACCAAGTCGCTGCAAGTTTGTGATCACATGAACAATAATCGTTTTCAGATCTGGGATTCTTGTATCTTTTACTAGATAATAAGCCACAACCTGCTTATAATTTTTACGAATTCCTCTTATCATGGAAGTAAGGGCATGATTTCTGATAAATCACTTTTACAGAGTTCTAGTTGATTTTGTTACCTCAGAATTCAAGATTTATTAGCTGAAAATTGTACACTGTGAGCGGTTACCAAGACTAGATTCACAATCTTAAGTCCTAGGTGCTATCGTGGTCCGTGGGATCAGCCCTAAACTTTGTCCATACCCTGCAATAATCGTAAACACTAAACAAGGGTAGACATATTTCTAGTTTAACTGCCTGAAGATTTTCTCTATGGTTTATACGTAACTCTCCACCTATTATCTCATTTTTGTACATGTTCTGGGAGAACTCAACTTGCTCCCTATAAAATGCAACGTCTTCCTGCACAGGTGGTTCTGGTTAAGTGCCAGCCAGCTTCGGGTTTGTAATTAGTTGTTGCAATTTTCTGATTTCGTCGTCATTTTTCATAATCCAGATTTCGTTTTGGCATTCCAGTTCAGCCATTTGATCCTGAAGCTCTTTTATAGTAGAATCATTATGGCATCGTATATCTGAGACTTTAAATGAGTGGTTGACCTCACGTTGATTACTCTCGTCCATCAGACTCTTTACGTCATTTCTCAGTTTAGATTCAAGTTCTTTTAGGAAGCCAATTTCATCTTGCAGTTCAGCAATCTGTGACATCGTTACATCAGTTTGTGTAGCAGCACTTAAAGAATCTTGCATATCTTCATACTCAGCGTCAAGCGTAGCTTCTAAGCCTGCAACCTTCTTTTTTGACTCAATATTTTGAGCTTCAAGAGATAGTTAAGGGCTCTCTGATCTTCCTAGGTTCTTCAGTTGAGTACGCAGCATCTCTATTTCTGACTCGTATGTTTTTAGTCTTTTTATATGTTTTTCCAGAAAATCGAGTCTGTATTGCAAGTCGATGAAATTCTTGCGCTTTTTGAGAATTTTTTGAACCCTTTCTATTTCTTCGTTGTACGCATCCGTTACTTGGCGGAGTTCCTGACTGTAACGATCGATTTTAGAATTGGCTTCTGTGAGCTGTTTCTTCAGGTCCAAAATCTCCAGCTGATTATCTAGTTTAGTGAATTCTCTAAGCTCATTGAAAGATTCTTCCAGTTCTTTGAGTTGTCTTTTAAGTACACTTGCAGGCACGTCTTCAGCTATCACTTCTGCTTCGGCTAGTGCCTCCTCATATGTCTCTTCTTGAATAGGCCTCATTTCACGTCCGGATGATTCTTCTTTGGGTGGATAATTTTTCAATGGCATATACCGTAGGGATGCTTTTTTAGGTGATACGTTGCCATAGTCTCCAAAAGTATGACGTCTTAATGTTTTTTCGGTGTTGATGACGAGGCTCCCATTTGAAAGCGCCCGACAATAGATACTTCCGTTTTTAGTCTTTCTATCTCGAGCAGATACTCTTGTTTGCTTTTCTCCATCTCTTCTAGCTTAATTGCCTGATTTTTGAGCCGAGTTTCGAGATCGCGAGTCAAGTTCTGATATCCTTGAAGTGCTTCTTCTGTAGCTGACAAGATGTTTACTTTCGGTTTTTTTGACAGTTTTAGTGCTTTGGGCGAATTCTGGTGTAGATCTAGTCTCCTCTGCAGCTAAAGTAACATTTCCGATAATCAATGATTTGGCATTACCGCCAAGAGCCTGTGAGAGCAGTCTAGTCAATTTCGAATCGCGATAACTGATAAACTCCTTCCCCTCGCTTAGTTGCCTTATCACATTTCCTAATACTGACAAAGATTTGTTTATGTTAGCCCCCTCTTTAAGACGCTCACCAGCAGCTTTCGTCAGAGAAACTCTCTCAGAACCAGCTAAGTCCATTAAGTTAAGGTAGCTTATATGTACAGGTCCATCTTTCTGATTGGCATCTTTCGACTCCAGAATAATCCGGAAAATCGTGTGTGATCGAGATGACCTCTCATTCATGCGAGTAGCTGCAACTCGTCTGATCTTATTGCCCTGCATCATGTTCTCCATAACTTTATCAACATTGTCTACGACAGGTTCTCTTGCATCAAGCAGCACATTTCCTTTGATATCTTCTCTTATAGTTAAACCCTGATTGCTCTTATCCAGGAGGTCATTGATCTTTTCATTGTAGATTTCAATATAACTGCATCTAATCAAGTACCTCTTATCAACCTGGTCTGCCACATGCTGGAATAACTGATTGGATACTAATTGGAAAAGCCCAGGATCTGTTTCATTGCCCAAAATGGTGTGTGTTTTGCCAGAAGATGTTTGGCCATATGCAAAATTTTGCATTGAAACCTTCCATGAAGGAATCGACTAAAGGTTTTACTACAGATCCATATACATCTGAATTTGTACATTCCTAGTTAAATACATGGTCGAATATATAAACCTCTCCATGGCGACTACTTTCATCGGCTTCCCATATGCAGTTTGCTCTTACGTTCCAAAGACGCTCTAGACCATCGGCTACTTCGGGGTGGATCATTGGTCTGATCTTTATGGCTACTTTAATATTGTCGGAAGTCATTTTGGAAGCTTGAACTGAAATTTAATTAGAACTAGGGCTATTTCACGGGTTATAAAGAGGGGCAGATGTATCAGGTTGATACATTCTTTTTTTCCTCCTTTCCAGTATAGAAGATTTTTTTCTCTTGTAGGCTATGAATGCGGTCCGATAATTTAGTAGAGCTACATTTACAGGGTGACTCAAAATCAAAGAAGAAACAGAATTGTTAAATTTTATGTAGACTGTTATTGTTATTACAAAAAGAAGTTGAAGCAGCAGCAAATTCTCACAAATCTATAGATCCATCACTTTCAGCACCCGATTTTTCAACTTGAAAAATGCAGCTCGGTGAAGAATCACAAGGTAACTGTTGTCTATTCAGACAATACTCTTCTAAAAGCAACGCGAAGTTACCTAGTGCCTTACATGAATCGCCTTCATAATTCTTCATTATTGTCAATGGAAAACTGAAATTGTTGATTATTACAGTTTTTAATGCTGCAAATAAGCAGATGGGGTTCGTGTTGGAAATCCCACGTCTAATCTCGCAAAACAGGTTATCCACCGGATCTTACTATCAACTTCTGAAATGCCATTACTGTTTTTAGCCATGTGTACAACAGGTTTGTACGCATAAAACACTCTTACATGAAAACTGTTTATTGTCTAAAAACGAAAATACCCCATTTGAAGATGAGTAATGCAACAAATATAATTTACGAAACTTGAACTGTAATATGAACATAAAAAACTAACAAAATGGGCCATTTAACAACATATTTGGTGTTGATATTCTACAACAAAAACAAATACTTTCTCGTATAAGGAAACGTACAATAATTCACATTTATCACTTTTCACGAAACAATGTAGCTGCTCTGTGACTTTGCATACTTATTACAGATTGTAGAACATTTTTTTCATTGTGTATTGTCATGTAACACCTACGTCGTTTTTCCCTTTATCAACTGCATCAGGATCGAGAACTCTGGGCTGAGAAGTAGACGGCTTACTTTATTCGTCGTTGGTAATTTTGGATTCTTTGCATGGCTGAACGAAGCTCCCTAGGAAGTCTTGGATCTGATAAACGTCCTCTCATACGAAGTTAAATTAGAGTTTGCCTCAGGAGAACAATAAAATTTCGTCGCCTAATAGAACTTTCAGTCCCAGACTGAAAAAAAAAGGAATTTACAGAAGCTGGTTGGATACCAAATAGCACAAGGCAATCTTCTCGTGCTCTAACCAGTATTGTAATTTACACACTTCCGATCTAATGCATTACCCCCCGCCTTCATAGTGTTATAAAAATAATATAGAATCTTATCAGGTTTCTTTGATTCCTCTACTATTTTGTTATCATGCTGCATAGATTGCTATACGAGAACATGTGTATTTGGTTTTGGAAGATACTACACTAAGGCTGTAGTGCTAGTGAACGTAAACTTAGAAGTACCTGGCTGTGTTTCCTTCTTATTTGGAACTACATGTTGGGGTACTTGTTACTTATTTTTACGCTTCCTGCCGACGTTGGTCAGTTGGTTGATGCGCAATTCTACATGTAATTCTACTGGTGTGATATTTCTGTTCGTATAGACGAAAGCATTGAGCAGGTAGTGGTGAGTCTTTGCATCATCAGTCCATACTTATTCGGTTTAGTTTTCTTGTAGGCACAGGAAGGACATCGGCCCACGAGCATCTCGTATTTTGTAGGGGACTCACCCGAAAAATAAAAATTTCGACAGTTCTCTATGAGTGTCTCGAAAATTTCACGTATTTGGAGAAATTTATCTGCATTTCTCGAGTCACAGGGTTATTATTTTCCAAATTGGTTGCCACGGACTTTAGTTCAGGTAAATGCGTAATATATTGTCGTCTGGATCGACCAGTTGCAGGCGCTCGTTTTGACCAATTGTACATGTTTTTTCCATAAGCATAGCGAGGTCGTCCATAGGAAGTTGTTCAGGTTGATCGCTAACAGCGTCGTCCTCGGCGTAGTCTATGGTGTATTGTTCATCCGTCAACAACGAAAAAATCCATTGTGAAGGAAGTTCAAATCGTACACGCAGCTGATCCTCGGATCAAATTTGACCGCAAAGTCAACAAACCAACACTTGTGATGTTTAAATTAAACTGTGGTTTGAGGTATACGTGCTTATACCGTATGAGAAGTCACGGGAGCCCCACCACATAACTGAGAAAGCTCGAATCATCCGACGATACCATTAAAGGATTAATTTCTATATTCTTAAACGAATCTATAAAATCAAAGTGGCTGGGTTTCAATTTACATAGCTCTTTGTATGGTCTTGTTTGTTGATCAACTTATATGCTTTCTAGACATGTTCAAGCTGTGCAGCTTCTTCACTTTCATATTAATGTCAATAAGAGCATTTCATCCATTTTTTGAATAAATGTGGTTCATCACAATTGTAGAAATACTCTGAGCATTGACTATAAAATGGAATGGACTTGATCCGTGAGTATTCTCCGAGCAAATCGTCTCAAGTGCGTTTTTGATCGTTGCGCCCCGATTACAAATAGTGCCAACGACGCACAAACCAAGTCGCTGCAAGTTTGTGATCACATGAACAATAATCGTTTTCAGATCTGGGATTCTTTATCTTTTACTAGATAATAAGCCACAACCTGCTTATAATTTTTACGAATCCCTCTTATCATGGAAGTAAGGGCATGATTTCTGATAAATCACTTTTACAGAGTTCTAGTTGATTTTGTTACCTCAGAATTCAAGATTTATTAGCTGAAAATTGTACACTGTGAGCGGTTACCAAGACTAGATTCACAATCTTAAGTCCTAGGTGCTAGTGGTGCGTGGGATCAGCCCTAAACTTTGTCCAAACCCTGCAATAATCGTAAACACTAAACAAGGGTAGACATATTTCTAGTTTAACTGCCTGAAGATTTTCTCTATGGTTTATACGTAACTCCACCTTATCTCATTTTTGTACATGTTCTGGGAGAACTCAACTTGCTCCCTATAAAATGCAACGTCTTCCTGCACAGGTGGTTCTGGTTAAGTGCCAGCCTGCTTCGGGTTTGTAATTAGTTGTTGCAATTTCTGATTTCGTCGTCCTTTTTCATAATCCAGATTTCGTTTTGGCATTCCAGTTCAGCCATTTGATCCTGAAGCTCTTTTATAGTAGAATCATTATGGCATCGTATATCTGAGATTTTAAATGAGTGGTTGACCTCACGTTGGTTACTCTCGTCCATCAGACTCTTTACGTCATTTCTCAGTTTAGATTCAAGTTCTTTTAGGAAGCCAATTTCATCTTGCAGTTCAGCAATGTGTGACATCGTTACATCAGTTTGTGCAGCAGCACTTAAAGAATTGCATATCTTCGTACTCAGCGTCAAGCATAGCTTCTAAGTCTGCAACCTTCTTTTTTGACTCAATTTTGAGCTTCAAGAGATGGTTTAGGGCTCTCTGATCTTCCTAGGTTCTTCAGTTGAGTACGCAGCATCTCTATTTCTGACTCGTATGTTTTTAGTCTTTTTATTATTTTTCCAGAAAATCGAGTCTGTATTGCAAGTCGATGAAATTCTTGCGCTTTTTGAGAATTTTTTTGAACTCTTTCTATTTCTTCGTTGTACGCATCCGTTACTTGGCGGAGTTCCTGACTGTAACGATCGAATTTAGAATTGGCTTCTGTGAGCTGTTTCTTCAGGTCCAAAATCTCCAGCTGATTATCTAGTTTAGTGAATTCTCTGAGCTCATTGAAAGATTCTTCCAGTTCTTTGAGTTGTCTTTTAAGTACACTTGCACGTCTTCAGCTATCACAGATTCTGCTTCGGCTAGTGCCTCCTCATATGTCTCTTCTTGAATAGGCCTCATTTCACGTCCGGATGATTCTTCTTGGGTGGATAATTTTTCAATGGCATATACCCTAGGGATGCTTTTTTAGGTGATACGTTGCCATAGTGTCCAAAAGTATGACGTCTTAATGTTTTTTTCGGTGTTGATGCCGAGGCTCCCATTTGAAAGCGCCCGACAATAGATACTTCCGTTTTTAGTCTTTCTATCTCGAGCAGATACTCTTGTTTGCTTTTATCCATCTCTTTAGCTTAATTGCCTGCTTTTTGAGCCGAGTTTCGAGATCGCGAGTCAAGTTCTGATATCCTTGAAGTGTCTCTTCTGTAGCTGACAAGATGTTTACTTTCGTTTATTTTTGACAGTTTTAGTGCTTTGGGCGAATTCTGGTGTAGATCTAGTCTCCTCCTCTGCAGCTAAAGTAACATTCCCGATAATCAATGATTTGGCATTACCGCCAAGAGCCTGTGAGAGCAGTCTAGTCAATTTCGAATCGCGATAACTGATAAACTCCTTCCCCTCGCTTAGTTGCCTTATCACATTTCCTAATACTGACAAAGATTTGTTTATGTTAGCCCCCTCTTTAAGACGCTCACCAGCAGCTTTCGTCAGAGAAACTCTCTCAGAACCAGCTAAGTCCATTAAGTTAAGGTAGCTTATATGTACAGGTCCATCTTTCTGATTGGCATCTTTCGACTCCAGAATAATCCGGAAAATCGTGTGTGATCGAGATGACCTCTCATTCATGCGAGTAGCTGCAACTCGTCTGATCTTATTGCCCTGCATCATGTTCTCCATAACTTTATCAACATTGTCTACGACAGCTTCCCTTGCATCAAGCAGCACATTTCCTTTGATATCTTCTCTTATAGTTAAACCCTGATTGCTCTTATCCAGGAGGTCATTGATCTTTTCATTGTAGATTTCAATATAACTGCATCTAATCAAGTACCTCTTATCAACCTGGTCTGCCACATGCTGGAATAACTGATTGGATACTAATTGGAAAAGCCCAGGATCTGTTTTATTGCCCAAAATGGTGTGTGTTTTGCCAGAAGATGTTTGGCCATATGCAAATATTGTGGCATTGAAACCTTCCATGAAGGAATCGACTAAAGGTTTTACTACAGATCCATATACATCTGAATTTGTACATTCCTGCTTAAATACATGGTCGAATATATAAACCTCTCCATGGCGACTACTTTCATCGGCTTCCCATATGCAGTTTACTCTTACGTTCCAAAGACGCTCTAGACCATCGGCTACTTCGCGGTGGATCATTGGTCTGATCTTTGTGGCTACTTTAATATTGTCGGAAGTCATTTTGGAAGCTTGAACTGAAATTTAATTAGAACTAGGGCTATTTCACGGGTTATAAAGAGGGGCACTTTTCATAATCCAGATTTCGTTTTGGCATTCCAGTTCAGCCATTTGATCCTGAAGCTCTTTTATAGTAGAATCATTATGGCATCGTATATCTGAGATTTTAAATGAGTGGTTGACCTCACGTTGGTTACTCTCGTCCATCAGACTCTTTACGTCATTTCTCAGTTTAGATTCAAGTTCTTTTAGGAAGCCAATTTCATCTTGCAGTTCAGCAATGTGTGACATCGTTACATCAGTTTGTGCAGCAGCACTTAAAGAATTGCATATCTTCGTACTCAGCGTCAAGCATAGCTTCTAAGTCTGCAACCTTCTTTTTTGACTCAATATTTTGAGCTTCAAGAGATGGTTTAGGGCTCTCTGATCTTCCTAGGTTCTTCAGTTGAGTACGCAGCATCTCTATTTCTGACTCGTATGTTTTTAGTCTTTTTATTATTTTTTTCCAGAAAATCGAGTCTGTATTGCAAGTCGATGAAATTCTTGCGCTTTTTGAGAATTTTTTTGAACTCTTTCTATTTCTTCGTTGTACGCATCCGTTACTTGGCGGAGTTCCTGACTGTAACGATCGATTTAGAATTGGCTTCTGTGAGCTGTTTCTTCAGGTCCAAAATCTCCAGCTGATTATCTAGTTTAGTGAATTCTCTAAGCTCATTGAAAGATTCTTCCAGTTCTTTGAGTTGTCTTTTAAGTACACTTGCACGTCTTCAGCTATCACAGATTCTGCTTCGGCTAGTGCCTCCTCATATGTCTCTTCTTGAATAGGCCTCATTTCACGTCCGGATGATTCTTCTTTGGGTGGATAATTTTTCAATGGCATATACCCTAGGGATGCTTTTTTAGGTGATACGTTGCCATAGTGTCCAAAAGTATGACGTCTTAATGTTTTTTTCGGTGTTGATGCCGAGGCTCCCATTTGAAAGCGCCCGACAATAGATACTTCCGTTTTTAGTCTTTCTATCTCGAGCAGATACTCTTGTTTGCTTTTATCCATCTCTTTTAGCTTAATTGCCTGCTTTTTGAGCCGAGTTTCGAGATCGCGAGTCAAGTTCTGATATCCTTGAAGTGTCTCTTCTGTAGCTGACAAGATGTTTACTTTCGTTTTATTTTTGACAGTTTTAGTGCTTTGGGCGAATTCTGGTGTAGATCTAGTCTCCTCCTCTGCAGCTAAAGTAACATTCCCGATAATCAATGATTTGGCATTACCGCCAAGAGCCTGTGAGAGCAGTCTAGTCAATTTCGAATCGCGATAACTGATAAACTCCTTCCCCTCGCTTAGTTGCCTTATCACATTTCCTAATACTGACAAATTTGTTTATGTTAGCCCCCTCTTTAAGACGCTCACCAGCAGCTTTCGTCAGAGAAACTCTCTCAGAACCAGCTAAGTCCATTAAGTTAAGGTAGCTTATATGTACAGGTCCATCTTTCTGATTGGCATCTTTCGACTCCAGAATAATCCGGAAAATCGTGTGTGATCGAGATGACCTCTCATTCATGCGAGTAGCTGCAACTCGTCTGATCTTATTGCCCTGCATCATGTTCTCCATAACTTTATCAACATTGTCTACGACAGCTTCCCTTGCATCAAGCAGCACATTTCCTTTGATATCTTCTCTTATAGTTAAACCCTGATTGCTCTTATCCAGGAGGTCATTGATCTTTTCATTGTAGATTTCAATATAACTGCATCTAATCAAGTACCTCTTATCAACCTGGTCTGCCACATGCTGGAATAACTGATTGGATACTAATTGGAAAAGCCCAGGATCTGTTTTATTGCCCAAAATGGTGTGTGTTTTGCCAGAAGATGTTTGGCCATATGCAAATATTGTGGCATTGAAACCTTCCATGAAGGAATCGACTAAAGGTTTTACTACAGATCCATATACATCTGAATTTGTACATTCCTGCTTAAATACATGGTCGAATATATAAACCTCTCCATGGCGACTACTTTCATCGGCTTCCCATATGCAGTTTACTCTTACGTTCCAAAGACGCTCTAGACCATCGGCTACTTCGCGGTGGATCATTGGTCTGATCTTTGTGGCTACTTTAATATTGTCGGAAGTCATTTTGGAAGCTTGAACTGAAATTTAATTAGAACTAGGGCTATTTCACGGGTTATAAAGAGGGGCACTTTTCATAATCCAGATTTCGTTTTGGCATTCCAGTTCAGCCATTTGATCCTGAAGCTCTTTTATAGTAGAATCATTATGGCATCGTATATCTGAGATTTTAAATGAGTGGTTGACCTCACGTTGGTTACTCTCGTCCATCAGACTCTTTACGTCATTTCTCAGTTTAGATTCAAGTTCTTTTAGGAAGCCAATTTCATCTTGCAGTTCAGCAATGTGTGACATCGTTACATCAGTTTGTGTAGCAGCACTTAAAGAATCTTGCTCTTCGTACTCAGCGTCAAGCATAGCTTCTAAGTCTGCAACCTTCTTTTTTGACTCAATATTTTGAGCTTCAAGAGATGGTTTAGGGCTCTCTGATCTTCCTAGGTTCTTCAGTTGAGTACGCAGCATCTCTATTTCTGACTCGTATGTTTTTAGTCTTTTTATTATTTTTTTCCAGAAAATCGAGTCTGTATTGCAAGTCGATGAAATTCTTGCGCTTTTTGAGAATTTTTTTGAACTCTTTCTATTTCTTCGTTGTACGCATCCGTTACTTGGCGGAGTTCCTGACTGTAACGATCGATTTTAGAATTGGCTTCTGTGAGCTGTTTCTTCAGGTCCAAAATCTCCAGCTGATTATCTAGTTTAGTGAATTCTCTAAGCTCATTGAAAGATTCTTCCAGTTCTTTGCGTTGTCTTTTAAGTACACTTGCACGTCTTCAGCTATCACAGATTCTGCTTCGGCTAGTGCCTCCTCATATGTCTCTTCTTGAATAGGCCTCATTTCACGTCCGGATGATTCTTCTTTGGGTGGATAATTTTTCAATGGCATATACCCTAGGGATGCTTTTTTAGGTGATACGTTGCCATAGTGTCCAAAAGTATGACGTCTTAATGTTTTTTTCGGTGTTGATGCCGAGGCTCCCATTTGAAAGCGCCCGACAATAGATACTTCCGTTTTTAGTCTTTCTATCTCGAGCAGATACTCTTGTTTGCTTTTATCCATCTCTTTTAGCTTAATTGCCTGCTTTTTGAGCCGAGTTTCGAGATCGCGAGTCAAGTTCTGATATCCTTGAAGTGTCTCTTCTGTAGCTGACAAGATGTTTACTTTCGTTTTATTTTTGACAGTTTTAGTGCTTTGGGCGAATTCTGGTGTAGATCTAGTCTCCTCCTCTGCAGCTAAAGTAACATTCCCGATAATCAATGATTTGGCATTACCGCCAAGAGCCTGTGAGAGCAGTCTAGTCAATTTCGAATCGCGATAACTGATAAACTCCTTCCCCTCGCTTAGTTGCCTTATCACATTTCCTAATACTGACAAAGATTTGTTTATGTTAGCCCCCTCTTTAAGACGCTCACCAGCAGCTTTCGTCAGAGAAACTCTCTCAGAACCAGCTAAGTCCATTAAGTTAAGGTAGCTTATATGTACAGGTCCATCTTTCTGATTGGCATCTTTCGACTCCAGAATAATCCGGAAAATCGTGTGTGATCGAGATGACCTCTCATTCATGCGAGTAGCTGCAACTCGTCTGATCTTATTGCCCTGCATCATGTTCTCCATAACTTTATCAACATTGTCTACGACAGCTTCCCTTGCATCAAGCAGCACATTTCCTTTGATATCTTCTCATAGTTAAACCCTGATTGCTCTTATCCAGGAGGTCATTGATCTTTTCATTGTAGATTTCAATATAACTGCATCTAATCAAGTACCTCTTATCAACCTGGTCTGCCACATGCTGGAATAACTGATTGGATACTAATTGGAAAAGCCCAGGATCTGTTTTATTGCCCAAAATGGTGTGTGTTTTGCCAGAAGATGTTTGGCCATATGCAAATATTGTGGCATTGAAACCTTCCATGAAGGAATCGACTAAAGGTTTTACTACAGATCCATATACATCTGAATTTGTACATTCCTGATTAAATACATGGTCGAATATATAAACCTCTCCATGGCGACTACTTTCATCGGCTTCCCATATGCAGTTTACTCTTACGTTCCAAAGACGCTCTAGACCATCGGCTACTTCGCGGTGGATCATTGGTCTGATCTTTGTGGCTACTTTAATATTGTTGGAAGTCATTTTGGAAGCTTGAACTGAAATTTAATTAGAACTAGGGCTATTTCACGGGTTATAAAGAGGGGCAGATGTATCAGGTTGATACATTCTTTTTTTCCTCCTTTCCAGTATAGAAGATTTTTTTCTCTTGTAGGCTATGAATGCGGTCCGATAGTTTAGTAGAGCTACATTTACAGGGTGACTCAAAATCAAAGAAGAAACAGAATTGTTAAATTTCATATAGACTGTTATTGTTATTACAAAAAGAAGTTGAAGCAGCAGCAAATTCTCACAAATCTATAGATCCATCACTTTCAGCACCCGATTTTTCAACTTGAAAAATGCAGCTCGGTGAAGAATCACAAGGTAACTGTTGTCTATTCAGACAATACTCTTCTAAAAGCAACGCGAAGTTACCTAGTGCCTTACATGAATCGCCTTCATAATTCTTCATTATTGTCAATGGAAAACTGAAATTGTTGATTATTACAGTTTTTAATGCTTCAAATAAACAGATGGTGTTCGTGTTGGAAATCCCACGTCTAATCTCGCAAAACAGGTTATCCACCGGATCTTACTATCAACATCTGAAATGCCATTACTGTTTTTAGCCATGTGTACAACAGGTTTGTACGCATAAGACACTCTTACATGAAAACTGTTTATTGTCTAAAAACGAAAATACCCCATTGAAGATGAGTAATGCAATAAATATAATCCTCGAAACTTGAACTGTAATATGAACATAAAAAAACTAACAAAATGGGCCATTTAACAACATATTTGGTGTTGATATTCTACAACAAAAACAAATACTTTCTCGTATAAGGAAACATACAATAATTAACATTTATCACTTTTCACGAAACAATGTAAGTGCGCTGTGACTTTACATACTTATTACAGATTGTAGAACATTTTTTTCATTGTGTATTGTCATGTAACACCTACGTCGTTTTTTTTCTTTAACAACTGCATCAGGATCGAGAACTCTGGGCTGAGAAGTAGACGGCTTACTTTATTCGTCGTTGGTAATTTAGGATTCTTTGCATGGCTGAACGAAGCTCCCTAGGAAGTCTTGGATCTGATAAACGTCCTCTCATACGAAGTTAAATTAGAGTTTGCCTCAGGGGAACAATAAAATTTCGTCGCCTAATGGAACTTTCAGTCCCAGACTGAAAAAAAAAGGAATTTACAGAAGCTGGTTGGATACCAAATAGCACAAGGCCATCTTCTCGTTCTCTAACCAGTATTGTAATTTACACACTTCCGATCTAATGCATTACCCCCCGCCTTCATAGTGTTATAAAAATAATATAGGATCTTATCAGGTTTCTTTGATTCCTCTACTATTTTGTTATCATGCTGCATAGATTGCTATACGAGAACATGTGTATTTGGTTTTGGAAGATACTACTCTAAGGCTGTACAACATAAACTTAGAAGTACCTGGCTGTGTTTCCTTCTTATTTGGAACTACATGTTGGGGTACTTGTTACTTATTTTTACGCTTCCTGCCGACATAGGTCAGTTGGTTGATGCGCAATTCTACATGTAATTCTACTGACGTGAACCAGTCATCTGCTGTGATTTCTGTTCGTATAGACGAAAGCATTGAGCAGGTAGTGGTGAGTCTTTGCATCATCAGTCCATACTTATTCGGTTTAGTTTTCTTGTAGGCACAGGAAGGACATCGGCCCACGAGCATCTCGTATTTTGTAGGGGACTCACCCGAAATATAACAATTTCGACAGTTCTCTATGAGTGTCTCGAAAATTTCACGTATTTGGAGAAATTTATCGGCATTTCTCGAGTCACAGGGTTATTATTTTCCAAATTGGTTGCCACGGACTTTAGTTCAGGTAAATGCGTAATAATCGACCAGTTGCAGGCGCTCGTTTTGACCAATTGTACATGTTTTTTCCATAGGCATAGCGAGGTCGCCCATAGGAAGTTGTTCAGGTTGATCGATAGCAGCGTCGTCCTCGGCGTAGTCTATAGTGTATTGTTCATCCGTCAACAACGAAAAAATCCATTGTGAAGGAAGTTCAAATCGTACACGCAACTGACATCCTCGGATCAAATTTGACCGCAAAGTCAACAAACCAACAATTGTGATGTTTAAATTAAACTGTGGTTTGAGGTATACGTGCTCATACCGTATGAGAAGTCACGGGACCCCCACCACATAACTGAGAAAGCTCGAATCATCCGACGATATCATTAAAGGATTAATTTCTATATTCTTGAACGAATCTACATAGCTCTTTGTAT